CATGCACGCAGGCAGCTGAAAGATGAAAGACCCTGAACCCAACAGGCCTATACATTATATCTCTTCGGTTGGGCTAGCCCCATACTACACAGGCACGCCAAACCATGACGCCACCTGATATGCCAACTATGCAGCTGGCCAGAGCAGTAGTCAAAACATGGAGAAAATCAATGTGTGATTGTCCGTTGATTGTGTGGTGTGTATCTAAGACATTCTGACACGACATCCAGTGACATGTCCTGACATTAAGCATAAGAAGATATTATGACTATGATTATGATTAAACACGTCATACAGTAATCAACTTTTTATCTAGTTATCCTTGAACCTAAACAACCTGGGTATGAGGGTTTCCTCTTCTTACTGAACTCAACAGACTGAAACAGCACTAGGCAACTACAAATGGCAGGAAACGGTAATTGGATTATTGGACATAGGAAGGAGAGGAGAAGTCATTGGCCACTGTTCGACTAAAATTACCTAACACTGGAGAATGAGCAAGAGGACTAAACCAAAATTTAGTTTCAAACCAAAACAACTAACTAGTTTCATAAATCTTACCTGGACAATTTGCAGTTTTTTTCATAATCTAATTCAGCTTTGACGGTTCTCTCCTTGTCGTATCTCTCAGCACACCGATTGTGGTGCTACCGCAGTCTCCGCAGTGTTGAGGCATGCATTTAATGCAACATTAGTTGAAGGTGAGACTCAAACTCCAGGTGTTATAAATATTGCTTGATTCCCACCAACTTCTAAGCTGCCCTGTCTGTGCCCTTTTAGAGACACATGCAGTATTGCATGAATTCGGCTTAAGCAGTATTTAATCAGAGCATGATACTTTATTTTATTGCATTTTTGCATGCATATGATAAAATAAATGTAGATAGTGGCCAATCACAAAATTCCCCAGCCTTAGCCAATCAGAAAATTGGATTGTGTCTCCTCCCTGTAAATCAAATTTTGACTGCACCACCGGATAGGGGGCAACAGGGCACAAGAGCACAAGCTGGCACACATTTTTCTGACTTTACTCTCTGTATGTGGACTTCTTCTGAAACTTAGATCATTCTTTAGGATGAAAGGAGCCTATCCTAGCATTTTCCTTATGTGGACCACCCAAAAGGTGGTCCACATAAGAAGAAGAAATGTTCATACAAGAAAGGTGTTCCATCAGGGGTTGGTTTGCACAAGTATATAAAGACAAACCCACACACACACACACATCTTGCTACCTAT